TGCTGCTGCTGCTGCTGCTGCTGCTGCTGCTGCTGCTGCTGCTGCTGCTGCTGCTGCTGCTGCTGCTGCTGCTGCTGCTGCTGCAGCTAGAAAGGAAAGTGGAAGTTCGCCACTACCAGGGTGTATGTACATCTGAAAACGACCGACTCAACAGAGACCTCACCACCGCCCACTACCACATGGCTTCCAGTCAGCTGCTGCTGCTGCTGCTGCTGCTGCAGCTGCTGCTGCTGCTGCTGCTGCAGATGTTGCTGCTGCTGGGGGTGTAGTTGCTGCTGCTGCAGATATTGCCGCCGCTGCTGCGGGTGTTGTTGCTGCTGCTGCAGATATTGCCGATGCTGCTGCTGCTGCTGCTGCTGCTGTGGACGTTGCTGCTGCAGATATTGCTGCTGCTGCTGCGGATATTCCTGCTGCTGCTCTTTCTGCGCTGCTGCTCATTCAAAGAACAAATGAGTGTAATTAATTAAATTAAATAATTAATTAAATTAATTATTTTAATTTTAATTTAATTTTGTTTTTATTTTACTTTTTGTTTTTCATTTCAGATGAATCCATTCGCCGGCTGCTGGACCGCCCGCGCCCGGGCTGTAAGAAGCTGGAGCTGCTGCAGGTTGGCAGCAAATAAATAAATAAATAAATAAATAAATAAATAAATAAATAAATATTTAAATAAATAAATAAATAAAAATAAATAAATAAATAAAATAATTAATTAATAACAATTTGTGATTAATTAATTCATTAATTGCTTTTAGTTAATTCATTTGAAGGGGCTTTCATGTAGTTCGGCTGTATGTACAGAAAGAGCTTTTAACCTTTTATTTGCATGCATGCATTTCATTATTTTTCATTTATTATTTATTTCCATTTACTACTTGTTATTTATTTATTTATTTTTTGTTTCTCACTTTGTTAATTGTTTATGGGTTGGTAGCGCTAGCTGTAGCTGGCTGTGGCTAGCTGTGGCTAGCCGTAGCTAGCTGTGGTTAGCTGTGAAGCTAGCTGCAGCAATTTATAGCTAGCTGCAGCAATTTGTGGCTAGCTGCAGCAATATGTGGCAAGCTGCAGCAATTTGTGGCTAGCTGCAGCAATATGTAGCTAGCTGCAGCAATATGTGGCTAGCTGCAGCAATTTGTGGCTAGCTGCAGCAATATGTAGCTAGCTGCAGCAGTTTGTGGCTAGCTGCAGCAATTTGTGGCTAGCTGCAGCAATATATGGCTAGCTGCAGCAATATATGGCTAGCTGCAGCAATATATGGCTAGCTGCAGCAATATATGGCTAGCTGCAGGACTTTAGGATTCTTTTGCTGCGCTTGTGCTGCTGCCTGCAGCGGGCTGGGGCAGCAGGGGCCCCCGACAGCCAGGGGCCCTAAGGGGGCCCTAAGGGGGGCCCCCAGCTCTTGCTGCAATGGGGGCCCCCCTAATACCTTTGGGGGCCCCTCTTAGGGGCCCCCCTTAGTGGCTTTCTGTAGGGCCCCTCCTAGGGGCCCCCCTTAGGGGCCCCCTGAGGGGGGCCCCTTAGGGGCCCCCTGAGGGGGGCCCCTTAGGGGCCCCCTGAGGGGGGCCCCTTAGGGGGCCCCCTTAGGGGGCCCCCTGAGGGGGGCCCCCTTGGGGGGCCCCTGTTGGGGCCCTATTGGGGGCCCTCGTACTGTTTGGGGGGCCTCGCCTAAAAGGGTCCTTGCTCCTTAGGGGCCCCATTTAAGGGGCCCCTTTGAGGGGCCCCCCTTGGGGGCCCCTTTGAGGGGCCTCTTTGAGGGGCCCCTTTGAGGGGCCCCCCTTGGGGGCCCCTTTGAGGGGCCCCCCTTGGGGGCCCCTTTGAGGGGCCCCCCTTGGGGGCCCCTTTGAGGGGCCCCCCTTGGGGGCCCCTTTGAGGGGGCTCTTCAGGAAACCTCTTTAGAGGCCCTCTTTAAGGGGCCCCCCTGGAGGGGCCCCTCCCTAGGGGCCCCTCCAGGGGCCCCTTCCTAGGGGCCCCCTTCCAGGGGCCTCTTCTTAGGGGCCCCCCAAGAGGCCCCCCTTTAGGGGCCCCCTTTAGGGGCCCCCCTTTGGAGGGGCCCCCCAAGGGGCCCTGCCTGGGGGCCCCCTTGGAGGGCCCCCTACGGCGGCACCTGCACCCTTTGGGGTTTTAAACCCTTTTAGGGTTTAGGGTTTAGGGTTTAGGGTTTGGGTTGGGGGTGTGTGTGGGGCCCCTGCTGCGGTGGCGCTGCTGCTGAGGTGTACGTACAGCTGAACTGTCTGCTGCTGCTGCTGCAGCAGCAGCAGACAGTTCAGCTGTACGTACACCTCAGCAGCAGCTGAACTGTCTGCTGCTGCTGCTGCAGCAAGGCAGCAGCAGCTGTTAAGCTCGAGCGATTTGCATTATTTACTGACTTCTTTATTAATTGAAATATCATTTAATGTTTACTTTCGTTTCTTTCAATTGGTTTGCTGCAGTTGCTGCTGGCAGCAGAAAAAACTGCTGCTGCTGCTGCTGCTGCTGCTGCTGCTGCTGCTGCTGCAGCTGCTGCTGCTGTGGCTGCTGCTGGTAATGCGCGCAGCAGCGGCTGCTGCTTCTTTCTCTGGGCTGCTGTAGGGGCTAGTCTACTCAGGGCTGCTGCAGCTTTCTGCAGCAGCTTATGAAGCAGCTGCTGCAGCTGCTGCAGCAGCAGCTGCTGCAGCAGCTGCTGCAGCAGCAGCAGCAGCTGCTGCTGCAGAAGCTGCTGCTGCAACAAAATGTCAGCTGTTGCAGCAGAGAGTGTATGCAGTTGCCGCTACTGTAGCACACAGTTGGCGCTGCTGCATCGAATCTAGCTGCTGCTGCTGCAGCAAATGTAGCTGCTGCAGCCGCAGTAAATATAGCTGCTGCTGCTGCTGCAGCAAATGTAGCTGCTGCTGCCGCAGCGAATATAGCTGCTGCTGCTGCAGCAACCGCACACGCAGTGGCCGCTGAGCTCTGCAGCAGGGCAGCAGCAGCAGCACGCGAAGCAGCAGCACCAGTAGCAGCAGCAGCAACCATGACAGGAGCAGCAGCAGCACGAACACAGCAGCAGCAGCTGCAGCACCAACAGCAGTAGCAGCAGCACAGCAGCAGAAGCACCAGCGTCAGCAGCAGCAGCAGCAGCAGCAAAAGCCCAACTGCACTCTGCTCGTTTGCTGCAGCAGTTTTATTTCTTCTTTGAAATGAAAATAATTTAAAGAGTGGAGTTTTCCTGTAGATCGTACCAGGCGCAACAGCAGCTGCAGCAGCTGCAGCAGCTGCAGCTGCAGCAGCAGCAGCAACTAATACACTAGCTGCTGCAGCAGCTGCAGCAGCAACAATCGCCAAGGCAATAGCTGCTGCAGCAGCTGCAGCAGGAGCAGCATCAGCTGCCGCTGCTGCAGCTGGCTGCTGCTGCGTTGCTTCATCTTCGTCAGAGCGGCGTCCTTCAAGCTCTAAACCCTAAACCCTAAACCCTAATTCAGGGTTTAGGGCTTTCGACGCAGAGGGCGCCAGCTACAGCTAGCTGGCCCCTCCTGGCCAGCTAGCCACCCAGTTGGCCCTCCAGATATCCATCCAGCCAGCTAGCTAGCTAGCTAACTGGCTAGCTAGCTACTCATCCAGCTAGCTAGCTAGCTAGCTAGCCACCCAGGTAGCTAGCTGGCCCCCTAGCTGGCTAGCTAGGGAGCCAGCCATCTCGCCCCACAGCCAGCACCAAGCCAGATGGCTAGCTAGCTAGCTAACTAGCCACCTAGCTAGCCAGCTAGCTAGCTATATACCTTGCCAGCCCCCCACCTAGCCCCCTAGCTAGCCACGTAGCTAGCCACGTAGCTAGCTGCACACCCAGCTAGCCAGCTAGCCACCCAGCTAGCTAGCCAGCTAGCCAGCTAGCTAGCTAGCCACCCAGCTAGCCCCCAGCTAGCCCCCCGCCACCCCCAGCTAGCCCC